ACAGCTTCCTTCTCTGCTATAAGATCATCAAACTGCATGAATAAAACAATATAGCTTGATAATGAAGTAGGCTGAGAATAATCTAATACAGAACCAATAGCAAATTTTGAAATGCATTTACTTACAATAAAATATTATCTGTAATGTAGTAGATTCTTCAAATATGAACCCCTAAATTACTCAGAATTTCAAGAAGAAAGTTAAGGCCACAAAGTTAAGTCACAAAATTATATTCCTTACTATTATCATCTTTGCCATAGACCTTTTGCACTTGATCTTACTTTTACTTTTCTGATAATTTATTTTGTTCCTTTTTAAATGGCACTAAGTTATCTCTTGATAAAAAGTGTCTCACCCCCTTCTCTCATTATCATTTCCCATAATTTGTCAAAAAAGTTTCAGAAATATCGTATTGAGTTATTTAGGTCAAAGTCAATAAATTGCTCTCAGAATAAAACTTTCAAAATAATGCAATACTCTATGCTAAGCATGGTGGCTCATGCCTGTAAACCCAGCACTTCAGGAAGCTGTGGCAGAAAGATCACTTGAGGCCAGAAATTTGAGATCAGCTAGAGCAACATAGTGAGTACTCCGTTTCTACAAAAAAAATTTAAAAATTAGCCAGTCATGGTGGATTCTGCCTATAGATCCAGCTAGTTGGGAGACTGAGACAAAAGAATGGCTTGTACCCAGATTTCAGGGTTGCAGTGAAGTTTGACCAGATCTCTGCACTTCTGCCTGGATGACAGACAATCACCATATTTCAAAACAACAACAACAAAAATAATGAATCCTGTAAACAAGGATCCTTACGCCATAAGCCTTTCCCTAAACTGAAAATGTTTCATGCTAATTTGAATTGCATTTTAAGAAATAATGATTTTTGGGGTAAAAGCCATAAACTACAGTGCCCAGAAATAAATCCATATATTTACAGCCAACTGATTTTGGACTAAGGTGCCAAGAACATACAATGGGGAAAGAACACCCTCTTCTAATGAATGGCACTGGGGGAAACTAAATACCTATATAGAGAAGAATGATACTAGATTTCTATCTAACACCATGTGACAAAATAAATTCAGAATCAATTGAAGACTTAAATGAAAGGCCTAAAACTATCAAACTACTACAAGTAAACATAGGGAAATGCTTCAGGACATTAGCCTGCACAAAGATTTTTATGGGTAAGACATCAGAAGCATAGGCAGAAAAGCAAATGATATACAAATAGTGCTACATTAAGCTAAAGAGCTTCTTCCCAGCAAACAACTGAGTGAATAGAAAGCCTGTAGAATGGGAGAAAATATTTTCAAGCTATTCCTCTAATAAGGGACTAATATCCAAAATATACAAGGAACTCAAACACATTGACAGTAAAAAAATAATTTGCATTTAAATCTGGGCAAAAGAGCTGATTAGCCATTTCTTTAAAAAAAAAAGAAAGAAAGAAAGAAAGAAATACAAACGGCCAATAAATACCTTTAAAAATGCTCAGTATCACTAATCATCGGTAATTAAAAATCAAACCTGCAATGTGTTATAATCTTGCTCCCATTCAAATAAATGTCTATAATTGAAAGGACAAAAAAATAACAAATGCCGGTGAGGTTTCAGAGAACAGTAAACGCTTATATGCTGTTGGTGGGAAAGTAAATTAGTGCAGCCACTATAGAAAACAACATGAGGTTTTCTCACAAAACTAGTAATGGAACTGCTGAGGGATCCAGCAGCCCCACTGCTGGGTATTCAGCCCATAGAAGACAACAGATCAAAAGGGTATCTGTACTCCTATGTTTATTGTCTCACTATTCACAACAGCTAATGTATGGAATCCACCTACATGTCTATCAACAAATGAACGAATAAAAAATTGTGGTACAACTACACAATGGAATATTCTTCACCATAAAAAGAAATGAAATTCTGTTATTTGTGGCCACGTGGATCGGTCTGGAGGATGTTATGTTAAGTGCAGACACAGAAAGATAAATACTGCACATTCTCACTCGTGTGGGAGCTAAAGAAACATTGAGGGCTGGGCAACATGGCTGATGCCTGTAATTTCCTGGCACTTTGAAAGACCAAGGCAGGATAACCACTTGAGGCTAATGTTCCAGACCAGCGTGAGCAACATAGAGAGACACCTCTACAAAGTAAACAATCAGACAGGTGCAATGCTGACTCCCATAATCCCAACCACTCAGAGGCTGAGGTGGGAGGATCACATGAGCCCAAGAGTTTGAGATTGCAGTAAGGTAAGATCAAATCACTGTCTCTAGTCTGGGTGATTATAGTTGCCCAGAGCCCAGACTACACTAGCAAGACCCTGTCTCTTAACAGTAACAAAAAACCTCATGGAAGTAGGAAAGGGGAGGCTGGTTAATGAATACAGAATTATAGTTAGTTAAGAAAAATGATATCTGGTGTTCTGTGGCATTGTAGGGTAAATGTGGTTAACTATGATTTATTGAAATTTTTTTTAGAAAAGCTAGAAGATTTTGAATGTTCACAACTCAAAGAAATAAAAAATGGTTAAAGTAGTAAATATGCTAGTTAGCTTGATCATTAAACACTATATATATGTATCAAAATATCACTCTGTAGCCCACAATTATGTATATACATGTCAAGAACAAAAGAGAAGCTATATTCATCCCTTTAAAAAATAGAATATTGGCCAACCTTACTGTCTTCCTTCTCATGAATACAATGCTGTAAAAGGGATACCATGTGGCTTCTCTATCTCAGACTACTTTTCCTTTGAACTGAACCCCCAGATTGTGAGAAAACTCAGGCCACAAAGAGATCATGGGAGTGCCAGTGTCCATGCTG